TTACCAGGCGGTAGACATTTTACTACATATTGTAGTACATCTGTCATACATCACGGTATCAATCTTATCCCAAAAAGTGTTCTTTATTACCACTTCGGGTTCAATCAATTTCTTTACCAGCTGGTGGTTATTATTACCGTTTCTGCAGAGTCATATAAGTGTGCATTTTGGTAATGATTTGGTAATGATTTTGTTTAGAGTGTAATTGGAAAGTAATGGAATTGATTAAACCCGAGAAATAAAGAAGAAAACGCCCTATAAGAATGAATCCTGCCCCACTGCCTCCTATGGGGCAAGTTATTCTACCGAATCCTCCAACTATTTTACTTGAACAATTCAATTTGTAATTATATATGTACACCTATTCCCTGCAACATACAGATATTTACAACCCATAAATCAATGTCAGAATCACGCATCTCAACTCGCCCCTTTTGCCATTTCAAGCCTTTCCTGCCCCATATTTCAACCGATTTGGTAAAAATGATCTCCAACAGATGCATTGAAATGGAAAACAAAAACATACCAAGACCATCGATTAAATTTAAATACTTATGCACATGTATATATGAACGAAGATGAATCAATATACTTATATTTTTTATGCGTATTTGACTTCATTATGAGAACAAATTTTTCCTGGAATTCCGGATCTCGTTTTTTTCAGTTAAATTTTTACAAGTTCGAGATTAAACTACGGTCCATTCTTTACAACAGAATTGTAGCCTTGTACAAAATTAGTTTTTAAAAACATTAGTGCACTTTCGGTAAAAATAAATTGTTCCAAAACCCTTCGCGGAATGAGTTTACCAGATGAAATTTAAGTTTACAATCTCGTTTTCCTCAATTAAATTTTTTCAAATAAATAAAAACTAAAATTACGGTTTATTTTTGTACCTGAAAGTAATGTCGTTAGTAATTGACTACTCAATTACTTTGATCAATTACTTAATCGAGCGTACTTGGGTTGAAATTCTACAAGTCTCCAGAAGAACCCAAATTAGACATCTGTTTGACTGAACATCCGTGGTTCTCACAATGGAACCTTTTTTCAAGCTACACGAGATAAGCTTAGTGACTTATGCTAAAAAATCAAGCTAAAAATTAGAAATGACGTGGTACTTATCTTTCCGTTGAATGGGCACTTGGAGGTCAAATACTTGAGGGCAAAGTTCACAGTAGCGGCCTGTTTTTTTTTCAAGCGGGCGAGCGAAGGAGTGAAAATTTTCTCCTTCGAGGTCACTCCGCTCCCTTCACTCTCGCACGCTCGCACTTCATTCAATGCATATTAGTTTTGACAAAATTTCACAATCGCGTAAATTGGTGCATACGTGGGTGTTTTATTATTAATTTTCAAAAGGTATGTTCCGCACTGTTTCTGACCAAACTTTTGATGAAATAACAAACTTCAAATACTTTTAGGATGCTGTGATTTTTTTCAGTTCTGTAGGTTAACATTAACACTAGCAATAATTCATTAAAATTTACCTCGAAAATATGCCAAAATTTACGACTTGATTTCATTATCATCCGAAAACCGTTTTCCCCTGATGTTTTTCTTTAAGTTTCGAAACGAATAATAATCACTAAGGGACAAGTCTGGACTGCACGGGGCGTGGTTTGTGCAGGTAAAGCGATTTTCGTCTGCACTAACCCTCGCAAAAAGCCAGGTATTAGGTGGCGCGTTGTCGTCTAAAAAAAGGCCAACTCTTTATTTTGACCCCACGTTTCTTTTCAACCGGAGGACGCAGCTCCTTCAGGGTTCCTGCATACACGGCCCCATTTATTGCAGTATTTCCAGCAATAAATTTTATAAGGAGGGGACCTTTGGTATCCTTGAAAATGGTCATCATCAATTTTTTTGTCAGATTTTTGCACTTTTCAATTCACGGGCGGTGGCAACCCCTCGTGCTTCCAATGAGGGAATTATTATTTGGTCAACGGGTCATAATAGTAAACCCAAGTACCATATGCAGCCAATAAAATATTGAGCAGGTTCCAGTTTTCATTTAATAGGTTAAAATTTGCATTGCAAAAGTCGACTCGATCCTGTTTTTGAAATGCCGGAAGCAATTTTGGTACCCAACGGGAGAAAACCATTTTCATACCTAAGTCTTCAGTTAACATGGAACAAATTGCTGGTTTTGGAACACCCATCTCATCTTCTAAATAGGACAGTTTCAATCGCAGATCTCTCATTATTTGTTCCTCTAGTTTCCGGAGCCTTTCTGTGGAAGAAACGGATTTTGAGCGTCCTGGCGACTTTTTGCCCGAGACCTCCTTTCGCCATAATTAAAAATTATTGACCCAATTGAATTCGTGTTTCGTGTTGGGCAGTTTTCATTGTACATTTTAAGCATTCAACCATAAATCTGCGACACGTATTGCCTATCCAGCATTAAAAATTAAATCACACTACGATATTTAATTTGCAAATCTAGCATTTTTTCCGTCGAGGTAAAGTTTGCCGATTTATTGCTAGTGTTGACGCTAACCTTAAGAACTGAAAAAAATCACAGCCTCCTAAATGTATTTGAAGTTTGTTATTTCATCACAATTTTGGTCAGAAACAGTGCGGAACATACCTTTTGAAAATTAATAATAAAACACCTACGTACATTCATATAATTTTATATTTCATCATCATCATCATCCATCATCACTTTTTTTATTACGGATCGGTGGATAGTAGGATTTTTAAAACCAAATATAAAATTATATGAATGTATGAAGCAATTTACGAGATTGTGAAGTTTTGTCAAAAATAATATGCATTGAATGAAGTGCGAGCGTGCGAGAGTGAAGGGAGCGGAGTGACCTCGAAGGAGAAAATTTTCACTCCTCCGCTCGCCCGCTTGAGAAAAAAACAGGCCGCTACTGTGAACTTTGCCCTCAAGTATTTGACCTCCAAGTGCCCATTCAACGGGAAGATAAGTTCCACGTCATTTCTAATTTTTAGCTTGATTTTTTAGCATAGGTCACTAAGCTTATCTCGTGTAGCTTGAAAAAAGGTTCCATTGTCAGTCAAATTAATTTCCACTCAGCTTTTGCACTTAATGCATATTCCAATTTTTTCATTATGTACAATTGTTGCACCTGCTGTGATCGACGGCCTGTGGATAATATTGTGTGGATTTTATAAAATATATACTATTCACGAAGGCATTTTTCGACGGAACAAGTACATATGCAGGAAATCGCATTTAAACAGTTTTATGCAAATTAATTAATTAGTAGTGGACAGTAGTAAAGAAGAAGGTAGGAGCACCACAAAATAATGCATCACACCCAAGCGCCACCTTTGGAGGAAACTACCAACCTATCCAGTCGCGTATGTTTTTGAATAAATTGACAATTACATCTATTTCCTGCAACATAATCACAATCCATCAATCAATGTCAGAAACACGCATCTCAATTTTCCCCTTTTGCAGTTTCAGGCAGTAACACACATACAGATTTACCTATTTGATGAAAACTATCCCGAGTACTTATAAAGACAGACAAACAGGCTCAACTGTGTGCATTTAAATGCACAAGGCAATAACTAATTTAAGATTTAACTAATGTAAGATAACTAATATACACAGATTATCGAATATGTAAGTGTAGATGCACACGTACATACGTACGTACATATGCATGGAATGCATGGAACAATGGGTGAATAAGATTCGCAATAAAAAAGCATATTATGAAACGTGTAGTAGAGTGGGATAATTACTTTTTGATAAATATTTGAGTTCATGATGATAGTTAATTTGTCCAATTTCACCAATGATAGCGAATGAAATGCCTAATCTCGCTTTTATCCTATTACATTTTTATGTACAAATGCAAAATAAAACTTTTTACTATAAAATTCCATCGTTGAATAATATTAGTTTTTTAATTATCGAACCTTCGGTAAAACATATTTAGCTCTAATACTTATTTTATGTAAATCTTCCTTCTTTGAATGAGTTTACCATATGACATTTGAGTTTGCAATAATGCTTTCGTCAGTTCAATTTTTTCATATAAATAGAAACGCGCAAATAGAAATAGGCAAGTTTTGGACATAAATAATTTAGAAACTATGACGGTACACAAACTTAATTTCTTTAATTCTGAATAATGGACAATAAGTTAACAAATTTTGTTAAGCAGGCTAATTTTGAAGCAACGAAAATTTATTAATGAATGATTTAACTAAGCTAATATTAATATTTGAAAACTACAAAATAAATTATTTTCAACAAAAAAAATCAATCTTAGGTGAGGCGATGCATCGCGAATAAAATAACAAAACAAGAATAAAACAGTTCCTTAGAATGTCAAAATTTGGATGACATGTGCATAATTTACATGTACAATAATAATTATGGTCCTTGCATTATTCACATTTCCTTCACTTTTACATCACCTCACCTACAAGAGCTTTTTGGCAAACATAATTTAATCGAAATTCGTTTGACTGTCTGCCTTCGTTGGAACAATGGTCAATTATAGGTAATTACTAATAAATAAATGTAATTTATATCCGACAGGTGCAACAGTTTAATTAGAATCAGATTAAGCAGACTGATTGATAGAATAAGTTGGGAGGAATATATTTCTGAATGGCCCGAGCTTTGCACCAAATTCGTTGCAATGATGGGCTCAAATTGTTTTCACGCGATTGACATTTATTAGGAAATTAAATTAGTGGGTCACAGCATGGATAAGTGGACCTAATGGACAATAAAACAATAAATCATGATAATACACACATTGGGCCATCCATATTTTACGTCATCAAAAATTCTGGATTTTTCCATCCACCCACCCACTCAAAGTATGTGTGAATACATTCAGGGATAAGGGATTTTTAACATGGGAAAGATAGGAAGACCTAAACGACCCCCCACCAATAAAATCATGACGTGATATATGGACCCTCCCTATTCGGCATTTTTAGGTTACTTCACACCTTTAGTTGCTCATCAAACTTCACAAAATGAGTGCCATTAATCGAACTCAGGTCAATAGCGCATCGTCGTCAGCCCATTAAACATGTCTTTTTATAGCCAAACCATTTGTTTTGTCGCCGTTTTAGTCGTTTGTCATCAATTTTTTCGAGCAGGTTGGTACGTTTGTCAATCACAGAGCCTATTTAATCCGGGATTGAGGATTGATGTTAGGAACTAATTAGTCCTTAATCGCAATCTTCCATGTGTAATTTTAGGCTGTTTATCCCTAATCCTCAATCCCTTGTAGTTAAGAACAAATAATCAAATCCTAATCTCGGAGGTCATTAGTCAAAGTTAATTTTAATCTAAAAATAAGTTGGGATTAAAGCGGGATTAAATTAGCTCCAGCAGCAAAAACGTTGAGTCAAAAATACCAGTTAAAATCGGACTAAAGAAATCCATACAATGACGTTGGAGATTTAATCCCAAATTAATTTTAATCCCCAGCCAAGTTAAACCCTAATCTCAATCCTCAATTACTTAATTTTCGAAATTAATTCCAAATCCTAATCATTAATCTCACTTTCACTAATCCCTGGCCAATAAATCTAATTTTCCTTTCGTTATTTAGACGCTGTTTCTTGTGGCGAAGGTTGGACTTCCTTCGAAGACTCAAAATGTTTCAAATTCTATGATTCCTTCGAAGAAAGGGATGCAGCTGTTCAGATATGTTCTGAAAATTCGGCCCGCCTTCTATCCATAAAATCACGACAGGAACAGGACTTCCTGAAAACCTGGATTTTCCAGGATATGGTGGTACAGAACAGCATTTGGTTGGACGGAAACCGATCCAGCAGTACTAATTTCGTCTGGGCGGATGGGGACGCGATGTCCTTCACCAACTGGGACGTCGGATATCCCACCAATCAAACTGGTGACAATGGCTGCATGGAAATGTCACCTAATGCGACCGTAGTGGAAGTTGGGGCTTCCGAGGACGGAAAATGGAAAGATGTTCCGTGCTCGAAAAGCAATTTGATCGTTTGCGAAAAGAAACCAACGCTGACGGCACCCGAGCTTCAAAATATGGTAGTTCAACTACGAGATAACCCGGGTAAGAGTATGGTTGATCAAGTAAAATAAATTAAACTCGTTTCTTTGTGGGACTCTCATACATAATTATAACCCCTCGACCACAATCAAGGTCAATTAATCACTGACCGTGCCAAATTGAAGACAATTTTAGTAGCATACTTATATCTAAATAAGCTCGTAGCGATCATATGTAGTTGTGCATGGCTAATTAGAAATGAAGCTTTACGACTTTACAAACATGGCTTCATTTTCATTTCTAAATGCACTTTATCTAACTCCATAATGCACTGAAGTCTATACTTTGAACAGAATATAATTTTGAAATATGCATGCACACATACGTAAATATGCGTAAATCCATGAATGTATTATACATTTTTGTGGGTTTTAGTCAAATAGTTTGATATTTACATAGGTCGAATGAGTTCCGAGAAAAATGGCCAGATTTGATCGATGAAATAAGGATAATTATGGATAATCGATAAGGCGTTACAAATTTTTGGTTATGGCAAACTTTATGAAAATTAAAGTTAGAATTTCAATGCTTCAAATTAATAAAAAAAATGATTAATTGTTTTTGTTTTATTCAAAAACACTAAAAAGTCTAAAGCAAAAAAAAACAACCACGGGCTTTAGATGCTGCTAGATAACTTTTCCATTCTTCTTTTTGAAGTTGGGGTTTGCGCAATTAAATTGTGTCTCAATGTCTTTCAAACTATCTATGTCCCACTTTACAATAAGGTACTCGTACTCTTCACCAGTAAATTCCTTTTCCTTAATATCCATCTCTATGGTTTTAGTTCCTCTGGGATTCATCTATGTTCAGCTGCCCCTGCATCCGTCACCACAAACGCTGTGGCCAAACCTTCACTGGCGGAACGTATCGAGCAGTTACGCTGGCTTGTTTTTTCGGGCGGAAGGTGGCACCGCGTCTGCTTTTGGAGTAATCCAGTCCGAAAGTAGTAATCGGCTAGGTAACTTGGAGTCCTCTTCGTCATCGATAGGAGATTCAACGTCAATTACGGTCCCGAGTAAAGGATGGTCCGAGTTCGTCAGGACCGGATATGGTTTATATCCATACGTCAAGTATCAAGGGATACGAGTTCAAAATACAGGAAATGAGACGTTTCCACGAAATATGGCTATGCGAATATGGGAGCGAATATGAAATAAAAACTCAAATTCTATTCATTGATCCGTTCATGTGGTTTACAAGGGAACATTCCGAGGTGTCCAACGAGATGGGTTGACACCCATTAAAAATTATCAAGATTTGCACCTGACTTATTCAACAAACTGGAGGAATTCCGATATAAAACACACTATCCGTCAAGTCAAATCCACGACCATCCGGTTGCCAGTGGGAGAGGTGGGGAAGAGGTGTATTCTGGTGATTTTACTATAGTGTGTGAACCCTCAATTCGTTGGGCAGCTCGGAATATTCCCTTGTTAGCCTTCTGTCACTTGCATTTAATTTAGTGAAACTCTTGCCTTTTATATTACAGTCATTCTCAGGCTGGATTAAGAATATAATCAACTCTTTTGGTGAATATCTCTTTTATACTATTCTCGTACAAAAACGGTGCAAAATACGTTGTCAAGGTTATCATTATTATACTGATTAAATGACACGGGTACAAATCATGATATCCTTAAGCCACCAATCGTAACTCAAATGCATATGGAATGTATGTTTATACCATTTGTAATTGAGCAGTATCAATTAATTTACCAATGTCGTGATTATCTTGAGATAAGATAAATCACGAAGTTCAGTTGAGAATTTTACTTCATGCCATTCTTCAATCGTGGTCCCTGGCCTCTGGTACTCTTGGTTATTATTCATAAATTTATGCATTTCCATCAACAATGAAGAATACGACATTAATATTACAACAGCTACGATTGCTCATGTTAAATGCGTCAATTGTTGGACCAGAGTATCTCTCTGCTTATATCGTACCCTCATCAGATGCACATCACGTAAGTGACGTAGCGTTTAAATTTTAAGATTATAGCATCCCGGGTGAAATTCGTATTTATGTTGAATTAGACATATGAAAGTGGCCGGAACAATGGTTTGTGCAGAAAAAGTATGAACGGTTCTGCATAAAACTTCTGATAGGTATATTATGCAAGAAGGTTTAGCACAATTCTGCAAATTTTGTGCACAAACTCGTTCGGCATAAATTTTTCTGCATAAAATCCAGCTAATTCTCTGCATAAAACGCAGCCAAATTTCGACATAAAATCCATTCAATTTTTCACCCGGGATGTTTTTTTATTAAATAAATGATTTTATAACAATAGTTATGTTTTTACCGTATTAGAACATTCGAAGGGCTGACTGTGATCAACGGCTGGCATACGTTTCTGGATTTGATGGATCCTCAGGAACTGCAATTATAACGGCGGATTCTGCCCTACTGTGGACTGATGCCCGGTACTACACCCAAGCTGAAAAGCAAATTGATGACAACTGGACCCTAATGAAAGATGGTTGGTGGTGGTGGCTTAATAAAATTTGGTGTCATTTATTCAGAGCAGAAAACCGTGTTTCTTTACGTCACCATTATATACAATTAAATATCTAAAAACAGCATTGACGCTTTTTTTTGTGGAGGATCTCGATTTTCGAAAAAAAGCACATTAACTACTATATACTGTTCGTCTATTTAGGGTGACCATATTTGTCCTGACTAAAACCGGGACATTCTTTGGCCAAAAAATTTTTTTCGATAATATCTAGCGCTTGGCGAAAAAATTTGCCATAATATCTAGTGCTTGACGAAGAATTTTTCCATAATATCTAGTGCTTTGCGATTCAGATATCACCGAATTTTGAGAATGAGTCAGGAAAGGAAATTAAGTAAATATTACATGCATGTTACTAGTATTTATGTACTAAAATGTACTTTTTCATCAATATTTTGGCGAAAAAGTGAAATAGTTTAATTTTTCTCGACGATTTAAAAAACCGGGACACTTTGTCAAAACCGGGACATTTTCGGGACGCCGGGACAGGGTTTAAAAAGCGGGACATGTCCCGGCTAAACCGGGACGGATGGTCACCCTACGTCTATTATTATTAGTCGCAAAAGTCGGAACATTTTCTGAGAAGTTATTTGGCCATAGTAACTCTGATAATTTCGTCATTGCCGACAATAGCGAAACTGGTGTAAAATAAAGGTGCGAGAATGATGCATAAATTTTGTTTTCACAAAAATTTATTTTACCGGCCAGGTAACCTTTCAGAATTTTTTGCGACTAATAATTGTAACATTGTTTGTAATAATTGTATATATGTATGCAGGACTGGATGGAACACCCTCACAAGCCGAATGGTTACGAGATAATTTACCTTTTCAATCTAACGTTGGAGTTGACCCCACGCTGTACTCAAGAGGGGAGTGGTCATCCATGCTGACCTCTTTAAACTTTGGAAATATCATCCTTACCCCCACAAGTATTAACTTGGTGGATATTTCGTGGGGTGATGATCGCCCTCTTCGACCAACAAATGCAGTAATTCAGCTACCGACTCAATTTACTGGGAAACCAGTGGAAGAAAAATTGATTCAGATCCGGGAAGATGTTGTAAATGCAGGCGGTGAAGTCTTAGTCATTACTGAACTCGATGAAATTGCATGTTAGCTAAAAACTAAAAACAAATTGGACTGATTGATGATTATTAGGAAATTTATTCGGGAATTTATCACATTTTTTTAGGGTTGCTGAATTTGAGAGGAACTGATTTACCAGAAGCTCCCACCTTTTTTGCGTTTGCGATACTTTCCGAAGAGGAAATCCAACTTTTTATTGAACGTTCGAAGTTATCAGACGTCATAGTTGAAGATCTCGTAGCAGTGACAAATGGGAGTATTGAATTTCACCCGTACGAGAATATCTCTGCCGAACTGCAGCGACAGGTAAATACGATTCTATATGAAATATGATTCTCTTAAAAAAACTTTTTTCATTCAAACTTCAGTCATTCCGATTTCTGACTGAAGATTTTCACTCATTTCAAACTCATTTCATTTCACATCATCAGACTTCATTTCTTACTCCGTCCCATATATTAAGCTTAGGGTGAAAAATGAAAGGAGTGAGAAATCCTTTCATTCACAGTCACTCATCTGAGATGACGGAATCTTTCACTCATATTCATTCAAATCAGAGGAAATTCATTTTAACTCTATCATAATCAGTCTAATGAATGAAAATGAATATGTATGTATGTTTACTAAACAATTAAGGAATTTAATGCATTTTTGTTCCTTATAATCCAGGCAACCACAAGAAATGGAAAATTCTACTTTAGCAAAAACTGTAATTTTGCTCTTACAAGTGTAGTAGACGAATCCCGACACATAATAGCAGTAAGCCCAATCGCGTTACGGAAAGCGATCAAAAATTGGGTGGAAATTGATGGGATGAAGAAAGCATTAATTAGAGAGGCTGCCACTTTATGTCAATTTTACTACTGGTTGGAGGTTGCAATGGAGGATGGAGAAAATGTGTCTGAAGTGTCGGCTGCAAGCAAATTACTGGATTTCAAAAGGTGTCCTCAAGCTTATGTTCTTGAATGATTTATTGTTAAATCTTTAATGCTAAAATATTTGTTCTATAGGACAAAGGAGAATTTTGTGAGCTTAAGTTTCAAAACGATCTCTGCTTCTGGTCCGAATGGCGCTATTGTCCACTACTTTCCCACCAATGAAACAAATAGACGCTTATTGACGGAGGAAATGTATCTGATTGACTCTGGCTCGCACTATTTGTAAGACTTAATCAAATAAAATAAAACCTTACAAACGAATATAAAAAAAGTAGCATCAGAACGATCTTTAAAATGACGACATATATGACCATTATATCCCTTGACCTCTGACCTAGTCAGCCATGTGCTCAAAAATATTAACGTCCTTGAAAGCACGGTCAAATTTCCTTTAAATTTAAACCCCACATGAAAATTAAAGTTAAATTTAATCTTGACCACACCCCCTGGCGCAGTGGGGTGTGGTCCGACTTACCCAATTTTCGAGATCGGCCGAGAACTAAAAGTTGGAAAAACAATGGTGAAAACCGTGTTTTATTATGTTGACTCGTTCTGGAGATATCCTGCTCACAGACGGACTGACAGACGGACGGACAAAACGATCGCAATAGGCAGCTACGGCTGCTTAATAATTGTGCAAGCCATACGAACGAATATAGTTACATGATCTATTTCTTTTTGAAGCGATGGTACGACCGATATTACCCGAACGTTTCATTTTGGCACGCCCTCCGACCATCAGAGAGACTGTTATACACGCGTCCTCAAGGGACAAATTGCCATCGCAATGGTATCCTTTCCAAATAAGACGCCAGGACATGCAATTGACGCGCTGGCCAGACAATACTTATGGGAAGCGGGGTATGATTACGGACACGGGACGGGACATGGGGTGGGTGCGTATTTAAATGTGGGGGAAGGTCCGCAGTCAATAAATTCAAACTATAATCCTGATGATCCCGGGTTGACGGAGAATATGGTAATTTCAAATGGTGAGAAGTTAATCTAACCTAACAACGTGATGGTGTAAGATAGTTCTCGCTGATATCGACAGGACTAATTTAAAAACAAATAATTTTAAAAAACTTATCGATTTTAGTATTTAAAAAAATTCAGAAATGGCATTAAACCATCAAATTCTTTAATTTTCTAAAATTAATTTTTATAACCTCAGGAAAGTAATTTTGAGCAAAAATTGGGTATAACTTTTGAAATCGGGTTAAAATTCGAAAACTTATAGCGTTTTTAAAAATCCAGATTTTGGCTGAAATTTTTTTTTGAAAATTCCGCCACGGGCGTAAACATGGCCGTTCAGAGAAACGAAAAAACACGGGTCCACTTATTTTTGAAAAATTAGTCCGGTCGATATCGGCAATAACCATCTAACACCACTGCATTGTAAGTCTAATCTAATTTTAGAATTAAGTTTAATGATTTGTACCTCTGCTACAGAACCCGGGTATTATGAAGAAGGAAATTTCGGGATCCGATTAGAAAATATGATTCGGGTTGTAACTTCCTCTGTCAACTCAGGCTTTTTAGAAATGGAAGATATGGTTTTTGTTCCTTATCAACATAAACTAATTAAAATCGATCTTCTCACCGAAATAGAAGTAAGCTAACCGCTAAAAGAAAAATGATACTTTAATATTTTTGTACATAATTAATTTTTGTACTTGCAGATTGAATATTTGAACGCATATCAAGAAAAATGCAGACAAATCGTGGGACGTTTCATTATTGAAAATGATTTAGGGATACAGGTGTACGAATGGCTGCTAAAAGAAACCGAGCCAATCATTCCGTTTCCTTAAGGTGTCGATGTTTTCCCTGGTTCAACAATTCAATACCCAGATAAATGTTGCCAAATAAATACATGTATGCATCACTCTAATTATACTTGAGGAGGGGTTTTAAAATTTCGAAAAATAAATTTCTTTCAAGCTTTGAAAAAGGCAGTCAGAAAAACTTATTGAAAACTTTGGCAAAACTGTGATATGTTTGGCGTTAAGCATTCACTCGAATAAATTAGTTACGATATTGATAAATAAGTCATTAATTATGTACTTGTATTTGTTTTTCCCATAATGTTACGCTTAAATGTAACAATACTAAAGTAAATTTTGTGATTTAGTTTCAAATTTCAAAGTTTCAAATTTTGCTTGACATCAAAACTAACATTTGCGTGCAACCGTAATCGTGCAAGTCCGACTAACAAAAGAAAACGAATAATAATTAGAACCAATACATACATATTTACATATTTAATAGATCGCATGGGATCACATAATCACATGGAACATAATAGGCTTACAGGGGAAGGTTTCAACATGCTTGTTGTGTCGTGCTTGTCCAGGCTATGTTTTTTAGAATCCACATACTAGTATCCCAAATAAAGAATCTTGTCGTGGTGCTAAACTTAAATATTTGCATTTTGCATGTTTTTAAAATTGTGTGCTTAAAATGATCAAAACTTTAAGGAGTAAATAAAACCAATACAAATTTTTAATTTTTGAGATATTTTTATATCCTGAATATATATCCTGAATCTCCAATGGAGATTCTCCATGAATAAAATCTCAGAATTTTGAAAAAAATTGAAACAATTTTTAAAGTGCATTTACAGTAAAAGCGCAACACTACTTTTAAGAGAATAATCAAAAGAATTTTACGAAAATTAATTTCGCACACTGCCAAAGTTTTGACCAAAGTTGCACGCTTATCTATTGCAGCTTATCTAATGTCTATTCACCAATATGTACTGCAAGTCGATCCTCATGTTAAAATTGCATTCAGATCACGGAAAACCTTTTATGTTTTCTGTCATTATTTAATAACCTGCATTATAAAAAAACTATTTCTGTATGTAGCTTTGCGTGCCATTCGTAAATAGTTCGTCACACAAACACGCAATCAGACATCAAGAGGATTTTAACTTAAAATTGGTAATCAGCATGTACAAATTAAAAAAAATAGACGTAGCAAAACCTCGCAGTAAATCCAATTCCATATTTGACATGGATTTTGGCATCACCTTTTCATCTTTTTTTCAGAAAGTTCGACTTTGGTCCATCTTGGCCATAATTTTGGTACACTTTAAATAAAAATAAGTAAAATTTACTGTGTGTTGGTAAAAAAGAGGGTGACACAACCAAAAGGTAAAATTTATCCAAAATTGTGGCTTGAAATTATAAATTGTCAAAATTTCCCACAATCAATAAAACTGAGGCTGACGGGGTAAACATAGACGCTTGTGTAGTTTTCGAAAGTTATCCATGAATTTTTTTAACTTGAAATAAAAATAATGCATTCCTGATCATACATATTTAAGTAATTACAACACTGCCGCATTGTAATTTGAAATTTTTAAAATTCTCCAAAATCTGATATGTAATATGACGATACACATAAAAATATGTAGACCTTTATGAAATTTTTAAAAGTTCCCCATGTGGGAGTTGGTTAAACTTTTAAGGAAAGTATTAAAAAGTTACGTAGAACATATTTCAGTCATCAAATTATTCCCGCAGCTAGAGGGAAAACTTAAAGCGTAAAAATTTTAAATTCTGGGCTGCGCTGGGCTTATCAAGATTTGTGCCGGTGCTTAAATTGTGCACAAAGTTGCATAATTTTTAACGTTTGGTTGTGTCATCCTCTTCTATTTACTCAGCCGTGAGTAAATTTTACTCAATCCGGAGTAAATTTTACTCAACTGTGTGGCGCCAAACTTAAAAACTTGAATTTTCGACTAATTTCAAACCACCATAACTTTTGCAGCGTATGTCGGATTTTCAAAATTTTATGCTTAAAATTATCACAAAGGTCGAAATCTTTTAGAAAAAGTCAAAAAAAAATATTTCTAATTTTTGCAATATCCTTAGCTATTTTTCGACGAACCCCCAATTCTAAGAAAATTACGGAATTTTGCGAAAAGTTAAAACCGACAATTTTAGAAAAAATATCATGGGATAAGAAAGTTGAACTCCTTGTCATGATTTTTTCCCCAAAATTTTGAAAATCCGTCCAGAATTTCAAAAGTTATGGCAGTTTCAAGTATAAAAACATCCAAATTTGGCGAATTTGGCGCCACAGCACGATGCCAAATTTGAGTTTTACACGGAAATATGAATGAATCTTTCATCTGGGTTCCTAGTAGATTCTAAAAAACATAGTGGGTACCCTGGACACGAGTAGCAGTCGGGGCCCTTCACTTGTGGGAACCACACCCACTGGGGGAGCCGTTTCCCAATTTTAGGTATTCCGTCGAGTTTCCCTTGTCGAGCCGAAGAAAATGATATATCACATGATATGGTTTCGTTAAAATCGACAACTTGCTTAGAACCACACCCACTGGGGGTGCGGTTTCCCGAGTTTAGGTATTCCGTTGAAATCACCTCGTCGAGCTGAGAAAAATGATACGTCACATGACATGGTTCCGTTAAAATCTAAAAGTCGCCGTGGGCCACGCCCACTAGGGGTGTAGCATGTGACCATTTGAATATTGCTTATAGTGCCCACTGTGTTGAGGTATGTTTTGGACATGAAGTTAGATTTTTAGTCTTTGAAATTTATCCGTATTTGTTAATTATGTTTTATAATTTCTTTCATCTTGTGACCTTAATTTCGAGGGGGTGTATGTATGTATGTATTGGTGGGGTGACGATCCTGCCATTGTTGGACTGGACCGTCAGCTGCGCAAGCACTAGGGCTTATTGCAGTCTCCCCGTATACACCGCTTACTGTGCAGAGTTATGACTCTCACGATTTACCGATCTAGCTTGATCAACAAACCGCCCTGATCTGATTATAAATTGAATCAGATCGGGCAGAGGCATAGTAACTATTTGCTCTGGTGGCAAATCGTGCCTCCCAAAGAGTTCTAACCTTAGGGCACAGTACTTGTCGCAGGATCCAAGAAAATGAAATACAGTCTCAGGGCCACGGCCGCATAGGCACGTGGCCTCATCAACTAATCCCATTGTCCTAAGGTGCCCATTTAAAGTACAATGCCCGGTTAAGGTTTGTATTACTGATCGCAGATTATTTCGATTTAGGGTTAGAAGCTTTCTGCTAAGCCCTGATGAAGGGGCAAAGAGAAAAGCTTTGGAAGTTAAACAACCCTTGCTGCTTTTCCACGATTTGGTATGCTGCAATCTTGCCCAGTTAACAATGCTGGAGATTACAGTGCTTCTGGAAAGAGGAATAGAGGGCTGTGGGCCAAGATACTCAGTAAGAGTACCTTCCTTGGCCAACAAATCAGCCACTTCATTCCCTTCAAATCCATGGTGAGAGGGGATCCAATGAAGTGTTACCTTCTTAGTCTTCCCAATATGATTTAGCATCTCAATAGCCTCAGCAGTCAGTGATGAAACTGGCCGTGGGCTAGTGAGTGCTTTAATGGCACCCTGACTATCAATGAAGAAGTCAACGTTCAAGCCATAGTTCTGAGAATTGTCGGTCAGCATTTCAGAGGCCCTGATAACACCCATAATTTCTGCCTGAAAAACCGTGGGTGCCCATCCCAGAGGAATAGAGCACCTCACAGCTTCCTGGACAAGGTTGTTGTATGTGAAGTAGTAAGCCGCACCCGAGCTCTCGCCCATCCGTGAGCCGTCTGTAAAACAGCTCACATCAGCGGCATCCGTGGGCACGCTACCATCCTCCCAATCTTGCGCCGAACAGATGGAGGTTGAGAAGTTCCTCTCTGCTGGTGGATTAACAAGTTTCTCACATGGCATCTGGAATTCTGGAATGCCAGATGCCATGATTTCTACAAACTTGTTATGTTTTAGCACCATCGTCCGATCACCCCCAGACCATTTTCTCCATTGGCCGTGGTGAGCGAGGCGATGGTAGGTACGTAGTGCAACTTGCTGTACCCGAATATCCACTGGGGCAAGCCCCAGTAGACACTCCAGGGCTGCAGTAGGAGTGCTAGACATTACACCGGTTGTACCAAGCATGGCAAACCTTTGTACTCTTTGCAGCTGGGCCATGTGGGACTTCACCTGTGTAGCCGGAGCCCACAATAGTGACCCATATTCCATGGCCGGGCGAATTATGGATTTGTAGATCCAATTTGTGATTTTTGGGGAAAGACCCCAGGTTTTACCAATGGCCCTCCTGCACTGGGCCAGGGCACGCAAACCTTTTTGTGCCCTAGCCCTGCATAGTGGGCCCCAATTCAACTTGTGATCCAATAAGACCCCAAGATATCTTACCTGCTTTTGATAAGGGATGGGAATACCATCCAACTTGATCACAGGAGCAGTGAATTTGTACCTCCTAGTGAATAGTACTAGGGCAAGCTTATCATTGACTGACAGGCTCACCTCTTTGCACCAGTCACTAACAAGATTTACTGCTTTCTGCACATGACTCCCCACCGTACCAAGGTCAATGCCCCGCCCCACAGTTGTGAGATCGTCGGCATAGCCCTGTGAGTACAGTTGAGGGAAACGAAGATGCAGTTTTTCCAGAATTTCACTCACGACAAGATCCCAGAGAAGTGGTGAAAGGACTCCCCCTTGAGGGCACCCTCTCTCCACCACCCTCCCAATCTCATGAGTAGAGTCAGTTACCCAAGTGTTTCGTGTCCGAAGCATGTGCTCAATAAATCGAATACATACCTCATTGACGCCAAACCTCCTAAGGCTGCGCATAATAGAATCTGATCTAACCTCATTAAAAGCGCCCTTCACATCCAGCATCACTGCAATGCAGTACTCGCCAGAGTCAAGGGCCCCCTCAACAAGGCTAACAATCTGATGAAGGGCAGCCTCTGTGGAGACGCCCTTCATATAAGCGTACTGACTGTGTCTCTGCAGTCTGTCTACGAGAGCAGGCGTGCGGACCCAGCCATCTACCAATTTCTCGAGTATTTTTAGCAGAAAGGATGTTAAGCAGATGGGCCTCCAAGCGGACGCCCTTTCGTAACTCTCCTTTCCTGGCTTCGGTAAGAATACCACTCTGGACTCTCTCCATTTAAGAGGTGTGTAACCAAAGGTCAGGCACCCCCTCATTAGAGGAACCAAATACGGAGTTAATTCTGCTAGCCCACGCTGTAGAAGGGAAAGATACCATCCTTTCCGGCCGCTTTTAGTGGGCCAAACGAGTTAATTATATTGCTGATTTTTGAAGATGTGATCATCAGATTTATGGATTCATCATCCATTTTGCTATTGTCAGGTTCCCATGGGACCCGTTGAGGGTCCCTTGGGAACGATTGATCCAGTAATAAATCATAGGTCTCTGATAGGGTCCTGGTGTAAGCACCGCCACCCTTATCCAGTGATCCTAATTTAATGGTACCATCGTTTCGAAGGATGCGTGAAAGTCGGGCAGCAACAGGTGCCTCCTCGACACTCTCACAGAACCTTCTCCACGAGGCGGTTTTGCTCCTCCTCAACTCATAGGAGGGGGTGTGGTCGAATCAAAAAAATTTGGAAATATATATTTCGTCCATTTACCTGAGGTTTCCAAAACAGTCACAAATTTTAAAATCGGTCAACAAGTTCAAAAGTAATCCGAATTTCAACTGTCAATGTTGTATGACAAGATCGGGTATCAAGCCTTTCAGCAAGAAATGTCTTTAATTTTGATTCCCCTGCCAGTGGGTGGGGTTTTTGCACCCAAAATAAGTTCCTGCTACCACCTCAGGTTGCTGAGAAAGTCCAATGAGTGAGTATACTTAAAGCATACTTGAGTAAAAGTAATTCAACGTAAATTTGATTTTTTTTAACTTAAATGCCTAAAAGTGGGTGTGGTTGCAACAAAGCTTGACGGTCGCAGATGGTCGCAGCAGGGTATACTCAGCACACCATGGGCTCTATAATGACATACGTTTTGAGTCCGCCATGCGTGAAGTTTTGTGAAGTTTTTAGAAAATGTATCCGCCCTATCTTCGTAATGTGTTATAAAAAGTTTACCTCACGGGTACGCCTGAGTGGGGGTAACATTTGGTTTAATATTTTGCATGGAGGACAGGTTGGTTATGTACTACACGTTGAAATATATGAATAGCCAATTCAAGATACCGCCTTAATGGCCACATTTTTAGGCCCCTTGCCCATTGTGCTATGCCCAGGTAGGTTTGGGTAAAAGAATCCTTAAAATTCGGACTTACTTATTTCATACTAATTGATTTAAGAATTATTACATTGATAATTCTTAAATTAATCAAAGTCCAAATTAATTAATGTCTCACTGAATATGGGTTTTTACTTTGAAAAATTTGTTTGTCTTACCTTTCCCTTTTTCCATATATGAATTCAAATAGCTATTTTGAAGCACGATTTTTTGTAAAATGAAGATTTTATTGCATCTGAATCAATAATTTTTACTTTTACAAGGTCGATAGGTTAGAATCTCGATTTTTATTTTGCATGAGTTTTGCAACCACTTAATTTCTACTTATTATTTGTATCTAACTTATTCATATTTTCACCTTAACATTTTATTTACAAAATTCGAAGAGCAACATAGCCATTTATATTTTCAGAAATACGAAAGGAGTCTGAATTCCATGAAAAATTTAAACTCTTGGATCATTGCTATTATTCGAACGTGGAAAAGGTATCGAGGCAAGGTTTATTAAGTTCTTTGAAAGGAGACTAAATGCAGTGCATTTTTTATTTAGAAATGTGGATCAGCAAAATTTGTCAGTGATAATTTGGAGAGGTTCCAAAACGTAAAGAAGGAGTTGCCAACTTCGGTGAGAACTTTGAGTTTTGATTTGATTAGGCTTAACGTTTGTCTAATTAAAAGGGATTTCTCCAACGGGGAAAAACATAATTCTGAAAATGGAACCTGAACACCGGCATTTAGTATTTATACCAAAAAATTAAGCCAAAAATTTAGAACCATATGATACTAATATTTCTGTTGAATTGCCCCTTTGAACAGGTAAAGTTAGCTTTGCCCCCCCACATTTTTCTTGAAAGGGGCCAATTACTCAAATTGTAAACTTGTCTACCTTTTTGGTAGAAATAAGCACTACTTAATGGACGGTGGAAGTTACTTAAACAATGAAATTTTGCATCTGTGTTTTTCTTTTCTATCCCTGGCAGAGAAGGAGTACAAATCTGCGGATACCCCTTTCAACAAAAGTGTGCAGATATATTGCCGCTATTATTACGCACTTCGTGGAATCGTAGGGGCAAGCTTGGTCAAGGTACATATGGCAATACATATTTATTAAGGGGGAAAGCATTTCCTAAGATCATCATGTCTGTCCGCCTGTCCGTCCGTCCGTCTGTCTGTACCTCCGATAGCTAATGAACGGAAGGACATATGGCATTGAAAGTTTTAACCTAAGATCCTTCCGTTAAGTAAGAGACTAAGTTAGAATTTGCCAAGAGCACACTCTTCACGGTCAAAGATGGTCACAAAATATTAAATTACATACATATTTACATGGTATAATCTACTTGATAGGAAATTTGACTCAGAGATCAATGGTGACGTCGATTTTGACCTCTAAATGAAGTGAATGGCCTAGAAGGTCATATTTTGACGTATGTATGAGACAGTTTTCTAAGATTGAACATATTTTGAAAAGGAGAAGATTATTGACTTTTCGGTTAGGTTAAAAAAAGGTGGTGCTTAACGTACGCATATTAGCTCATTTACGGTAGCTAGTTACTAGTAATTGAATAATTAATTACTTGCTCTCATAGAACGGAAATATAAAATTATAACTAGTTAAACTCTCAAACAAAACCGCAATCAATTCGGTACTAATAATTCATTCCAATTTTATTTCAGCATTGCCATAACTCTCTGTGGGAGGCGAACTTATACAATATATATTTCACGTAAACATATATACATATTTGTAAATGGTCCAGAAACAGGAAATGATTGCGGAACAATAAACTCTTTCGGTTTTAGATGATTTATTTAATGGCCTTATTAACGAGGGGTACACAAACCAAGATCCACCCAGATTATTTTTTGACTATATTAGCATTCCAAATTTGGGATCGTCCATATAAATACGTACATACGAGGGTGGACCAATAACAATATAATTACTTTTCCGCGTTTATCAAAAATCGTATTTATTTCCGGATTTTCCGAATGCATGTATCAATTCATTTTTAAGAAGTTTTAAATTGTAAAAAAATTGCGTTTTAAAAGTTCTGAAATAGCATAAAATATCAATTTAAAAAAAATAAAAATATGAATGTTTATTATTATTGGGAGGTACATATGTACAGTTAGTCTGTAATTGTGAACAAAAATTGTATTTAGTTTTTTTTAATCTTGTTATAATTCGAAAAGTCACGGCGTGTTGAAAAATCAAAATTTTGGATGAGTTGTTTTTTTTCTGTGAAAAACCGCCACATGATAAAACATTGTTTTTTTTCTGGAAAACGCAAAAGTATGGGTCGGTTTATTTCTGAGCGTGAACAATTTAAAATCAGTACTGACCACGTCACACCTCTCCATTGTTGAATAAAAAAATTTAATAAGGTCCATAATTTTATGCACACCGAAACAATCGACCCAACCAAATAGCAAACACTTTCTGAGCATCCCAAGCACAAAATTTTTAAATCATACATATGTCAATATTTAGTTTGAACATTATGCAGTATATGTACAAATTTCAGTCACAGATTAACCGCATATTAATCTTGATCTTACCTAACTTCATAATAATTGCGAATAATAATAACATCAATTTTGGGCATGATTAAGAAAAGTCACGGATTTCTTTTCTCATGATGCGAATGAATGGAGTGAGATTACTAAATTACGTACGTCAATGACATACGGAATTTACTTATGTATCTCCACTCGAAAATTTGGCAATGCCTGCACATTAATCTTGATCTTACCTAACTTCACAAATATTTATTTATAATTCAGAATAATAATTTTTGTGCATGATTTTGAAAAGACACGAATTATTTCTATCCTCATCATGCGAATAAGCTTGAACTCGTTAAGGAATTTATTAATGTTAACTAGATAATCTTGGTTGACAGCACAACGGCGGCTGCTGCTATATTTGGGCACTGTGCTCCTTCTCCGGATGGTAAAAGATCATTTTGTGTATTTATCATTTTGAAATCACTAACAATCGAATCTTTTTTCAAGCTAAACTTGGATCGACTAGCAAGAAAATTAAGCAAAAAATTAGAAGTCACGTGACACTTATCTTTCCGTTGAATGGCCCCTTTGAAAAAAATATTGCTGGTTAAGTTCCATTTTTGAGCAAATTTCCTCCACGGGGCGAAAACCACGGAGAAGTACGAACTTTGACCCCAATATTTTGCTTCAAAGGGGCCGTTCAACGGAAAGATAAATGTCACGTGACTTCTAATTTTTAGCTTGATTTTTTGCCATAACTCGTTACGCGTTCCCGGTGAAGCTTGAAAAAAGGTTCCATTGTAAGTCTTTATTTTTTTATGCCACAGGTACGGGAAGCTTTGCGTATGTGGAGTGCAAAGACCGCGCCTGCTATGCTGATGCGGTTTTAACCGCGCAATATGGGACTGGTATGAATTTATAAATACCAGTCCCATATTGCGCGGTTAAAACTACATCAGCATAGCAGGCGCGGTCTTTGCACTCCACATACGCAAAGCTTCCCGTACCTCTGGCATAAAAAAATATTGCTGTCTATCCCCGAACCCCTAAGCAATAGCCCTTGGCTTAGGGGTTCGGGGGCGGAACTGTCACCACGCAGTCACACGTTCGATTCCTCTCTGTCCGGGAAGCTATTTGCTAATCCTACTCGGCTCGGTGTTAGTACGGGGTGGGTGCTCCTCTCATGGTTGGGTGAGCCCGGCCAGACGGTCTGGCAATGCCAGAAAGGGGAGCCCTCGCAGAGTCCGTTCTCTGTGAGAAGATCCGACTCATCACCAGAGTTATATGGTGAGAAGGACAGCCATAGATTGGAAACCAGTTTGCTTTTAACTGATATCTGTTGACTTTAAAGGATTATTTTATTTTATTTTTTTTTATCTAGCTGGAAGTTGTAGTTTAAAAGTTGTAGTTCTCTAGGTTGTAGTCTATTATTGATACGCGTTGCACACATTTGCGAATAATGCGCACATTGTACAATGTGTAATAACGTGTAGTACGTATGTACATACGTGAACGAGCAAGGATCAGGTTATAATTTGGCAGTCGCGATTGCATAAATACTTTGATATACCAATTTGTATCATGAAATATGTTTTAACAGTGTCGTAAGCGTAACTATTTTACAAGAGAGACCGTATTTAGATGTACAGATGTACAAATAATTATGTATCTTTTTGTAAATGATTCTAATTTATTAGTACTCATTCTTGTTGATAGCCAAACATGTGTTTTATTCTATCTGCTGTGAATCAGATCCTTGTTTTTCCTAGACTATTTTATTAATCCGAGTGAAAATAAAGGGTTAGAAGTCCCAAAATGAAGAAGTATGTAAATAGATACGCAGTATAAATGGGAAAATGCTGGACGCCTCGTCCACTACGACGCCACGCTAAAGGACGCCCTGGAAGGGATCCTCAACTGTACCCTCTCGGAGGCTGCATGGATGCAGTCCTCCCTCCCCGTGAAGGAAGGCGGCCTGGGGGTCAGGCACGCTGTGGATGTGGCGATACCGTGCTTTTTAGCGTCGGTCCACAGCGTCCTGCCCCACGTAGAACGTCTCCTTCCGGACCACCTCCATGGCACCGACATCGCCATGGCAGAGGGGGTGCAGCGGTGGACCGACCTGGGCCTCACCGACCTCCCACCTGAGACCGTGAGGGGGATCCAGGCAGCTTGGGAACGCCCCATATTGGACAACACTTTGTCCAAACTCGCCGATTTGGCAGTTATCCCGGAGGATACTGCCCGCCTACGCTCCCTCCGTGACAAATTTGCGGGGGTGTGGCTCAACGCCCTCCCCTCTCCACAACTGGGCACTCTTCTCCCAAATGAGACCTTTCGTGTCGCCATCGCACTCCGCCTCGGCTGCGATATCTGCGATCCCCACAAGTGCCCGTGCGGGGCGCAGGTCACCTCCCGAGGCTACCACGGCCTCTCCTGCCGCCGAAGTAAGGGTCGTTGGTCCCGCCATGAGGCCGCCAACGACGTCATCGCCAGAGCCCTCCGGTCTGCCGAAGTACCCTGCATCAGGGAGCCCGCGGGGTGCTCCACCACGGACGGCAAGCGCCCCGACGGGTTGACCCTTGTCCCTTGGTCTCGGGGGAGGTCCCTTGTCTGGGACTTCACCTGCGCGGACACATTCGCCCCCAGCTACCTCCCCGACACCGTGCGCCATCAGGGCGCTGCCGCCAGCAAGGCAGAGGACCGGAAGAGGAAGAGGTACGCTTTCCTCATGGACCGATACATCTTTGTCCCCGTTGCCATGGAGACCACAGGAGTATGGGGGCAGGAAGGACTTGCCTTCATCCTCCAAGTTGGTCAGCGGATCGCCGCCACAACTGGGCAGGCGAACGCCGTGAACTTTTTGCGCCAGCGGGTTTCCCTCGTCGCGCAACGTGGGAACGTTGCTTCGATTCTGGGTACTCTTCCTCCAGGAAAGGAACTGGAGGAAGTGTACTATTTGTAGTCCGCTCTCTCTCTCCCATTCTTACGGACTTTTTCTGCGATTTTCTGCGTTTTTTTTTTAAGTTTAGGGACTTATTTGTGCGACTGCTGAGTAGTCAGATTTTTCGATACTTTTTGTGATACATATTTTTTTTACACATACTCTGCGATACACCTTATACTAAGATTTAATATGGGAAAATGATATTAATTTGCATATATACACTCTAAGAAACCCGGTAACTAAGTAATTACCAGGCGGAGGATCTACATATGTGACTCAACCACATGGTTATTAAATAGTTTATTATTGAGTGGTAGACATTTTGTTACCAAACCGGTAATAACCCAGGTCGCGAGATTTGAAAATATTACCAGTTAGTGACTAATTTTCTACCACTCAATAATTACTTAATTACCATGCGGTAGAGTCGCATAGATACTCCGCCTGGTAATAACTTAGTTACCGGTTTCTTAGAGTGTATGTGAACCTCAAAATTAACAAAATAAAAGTTTTAGCCCCAAGTTGGCATTCCTAAACCCTGCCCTTAATGCTATGCTGAAAAATGCTGAAAACAAAACCGCATCATTCGCTGCATTTTTGCAAGGACGGGAACTTACATATATGATTTCTACTATACCTTTGTATATGCAGTAAAAAGTCATTCCTTATCAAAAATTATATCGCGATAAATTTTGACTTTCTGAATATGTATGTATAATGGATCTGTAGTAAACGAGTGCGCGTGCCGATAAGGCTGACGGAATTGCGTAGCACGTTGAACACTGTTGTAAAACTGGTATTAAATTATTTCCCTCTCGAGTAATGACTCTATGGTAATAAGGAGCAGTACTTTACAATGAGGGTATTCATTATTTCCTCGTATCCTTAGTATTCTTCGTATCGTAAAATAACTTACAACGCTTACGTGATTTTGTAAGCGTCGTAAGATTTTCCCATCGAAAATCACGTTACTACGCTTACGATTTTTACTAAACCTGACCCCTTGTTTTTTCTTCCTAAACTATTTTACGATACTACGGATACGAAGAAATAATGAATACCCTCAATATATATTTAATATTGTAGCACTGGGAAATTTCCCACGTAAATTTGTATCAAAGCTACACCCACCCGTGACATATGTATGTAAATTATGCACAATGCACATCTCACCACTCACTGTTTTGCAAAACATTTTGTGGTTACTCTCAACAATCTTATCATCAGTTTTTAAGGCCGGGCGAAGTACAAACTCGTGCAGGACTGGCACGTGTGCGAGGTGAGTATAAAATCCTGCGTTTTTCCCATCACTAATTATTCCGCAGATCTGTTTAACGATTTGAACT